TCGGCCTCTCCAGGGCTCGCTCCTGCTCCCGGCGGCCCTTGCGGGCCCAACTACTCCACAGTCGACCTCCACCGGCCCAGCTCCTGCCTCTCCGCGGCCTCCGCATCTGCCAGACTCCCTCAGGTCAGCCTCTCCAGGCCCAGCTCCTCCTGCCTGCCACTGGCCTCTTGAGGCCCAGCCCTGCTCACGCCTCTGGGCGGCCTCCTCAGACCGAGGACTTGACCTCCAGTCGGCCTCGCCAGGCCCAGCTTCCTGCCGCCCGAAGGCCGGCACAGTCCCAGCCTCTGCCTCCCAGCGGACTCTCCACGCCCAGCTCTCGCCTGACTACAGCCTCCCCAGGCCACAGCTCCTCCTGCCTTTCGGCAGCTCCGCCGGGACCCGCTCCTGCCTCCCAGTGGCCTCGTTAGGCCCGGCTCATTCGTCACGGGGAACGGCCTTTCCAGGCCCAGCCTATGCCTTTCGGCGGCCTCTCCAGGCCCCGAGCTTCCTCAGGCCGTCCCCTCCAGGCCCAGTTGTGGCCTCCCGTCCTTCCGTCCAGGCCCAGCTCCTCCTGCTCCCGGCTGCGGCCGCGGGCCCAGCCCCACCCTCACGACAACCTCTTTGGACTCGACTCCGGCCCAGCTCCCGCTCCGCGGCCTTTGGAGGCCCCAAACGTCCTGAAGCCGGGCCCCATGGTGGCCTCTCCGGGTCCGACTCCTGCCCCCCGGCCTCCCGTCCGGGCCGAGATCCTCCTGCTCCCGGCTGTGGCTGTGGGCCCAGCCCCGGCCTCACGACAACCTCTTTGGACTCGACTCCGGCCCAGCTCCCGCTCCGCGGCCTTTGTAGGCCCCAAACGTCCTGAATCCGGGCCCCATGGTGGCCTCTCCGGGTCCGACTCCTGCCCTCCGATGGCGTCTCCACGCCCCAGACTTCCTCCAGCCAGCCTCTCCAGGCCCAGCTCCTCCTGCCGGCGGCCTCTGCAGGCCCACGCTGGCCTCGAGTCTCGGCCTCTCCAGGGCTCGCTCCTGCTCCCGGCGGCCCCTGCGGGCCCAACTCGTCGCCCAGTCGGCCTCCGCCGGCCCAGCTCCTGCCTCTCCGCGGCCTCCCCAGCTGCCAGACTTCCTCAGGTCAGCCTCTCCAGGCCCAGCTCCTCCTGCCTGCCACTAGCCTCTTGAGGCCCAGCCCCGCTCACGCCTCTGGGCGGCCTCCTCAGACCCAGGACTTGACCTCCAATCGGCCTCCGCAGGCCCAGCCTCCTGCCTCCCGAAGGCCTGCACAGGCCCAGCCTCTGCCTCCCAGCAGACACCAGGCCCAGCTCTCACCTGACTGCAGCCTCCCCCGGCCACAGCTCCTCCTGCCTTTCTGCAGCTCCACCGGGCCCCGATCCTGCCTCCCATTGGCCTCGTTAGGCCCCGCTCATTCTTCACGGGGAACGGCCTTTCCAGGCCCAGCCTGTGACTTTTGGCGCCTCTGCATCCCCCGAACTTCCTCAGGCCGGCCCCTCCAGGCCCAGTTGCGGCCTCCCGGCCTCCCGTCCAGGCCCACCTCCTCCTGCTCCCGGCTGCGGCC